AAAAAATAATTAAGGAAAAAACTTAAATCATAATATGATTATTGTTTCATAAAACACTCTTAAATTTTAAATAGAAAATAATTAAGTGCATTTTCTTTAAATGTAATGTAAATTTCAAAAATCCTTCCATTCTTCCAATCCAGCAGAAGATACTTTTTCTATTATAATTGATAAATACATAAATTATTTACAAAGGCATTACAGGTCCAAAAAATAAGTGTTGTATTTGACGATATTCAGACTACAGTAAGAACGTAAAAGCTATGGAGCAGCTGAGAAGAACTGCACTTTCAAAATCATATGAAGTATGTTTCGATAAAACAATAGTTGTACCAGTTTCTCAAGATTTTTTTTTATCAAATCAAAATAATAAAATTAGGCTAATTAACATGTTAATAGAAAATTTAAAGGCTGCAAATATAACTACAAAACAAGCGGAGATGATGCGGATGTCCTTATTGTTTGAAAGTGCAATTCAAGAATCAATGTCTGGAAATCTGCAATTATAATAGAACAGATATTGATTTACTCGTCATTTTAATTGGGCGTACCCTGTCCCACGGAAAAGAAATTTTCTTAAAAAAGTTTGGGACAGGAAATGTAAAAACGGAGATATACTCGACTAAAAGTTTTGATAATTATCCTCATTCCAAAACACATATTTTATTTCTGCACGCATTAATTGTATGTGACACAACTTCTGGGCTTTTTTAAAAAGGAAAAAAAACATTTTAAAAGTTTTTGAGAAACTGACAAATTTGGATGAACTAGCTAAGCATTTGAGGAAGAAAATTGTTCGACCCAGAGATTATTAGAGAGTGGAACTCAAATCTTACTGGCAGTCTATAATGCTCCGAATCTGTGAAAAGTCTCGATCATCTTCGTTATATTCATTACGTTAAGTCTACAAAACTTAATAAACCTGTTCAGCTTGCAAATATTCCACCAACAAGTGCAGCTGCTCATTAACATTTTGAACGTGTATATTATCAAGTTCAAACTTGGTTAGGGCATGATTTGGAACCAAAGGTATGGGGTTGGGCAATGCGAAACGATTTTCTGGAGCCTATCATGACAATTTTACCACCTGCTCCAGAATATTTGCTAAATACAATTTTCTGCAACTGCAAGAGTGGTTGTGGTTCGCGATGCGGATGCAGGAAAGCGGGCTTGCAATGCTCTTTAGCTTGTGGCCAATGTAATGGACAAGCTTGTTTCAATGCTTTACCATACCAGAGCGACATTAACGAAGATGGAACTTTTGATACCGAAATTATGGAAGAAATTGAGACAAATGACGTTGAAGACGACAATGAAGACCAGTCTGAAATTCACCAGCAGCCGGAAGACGACGTCAAATATGTTAAATAAATTAATACTGAATAAAAAGTGGATAGGTTAGGAAAAAATGACAAAATATAATAAAATAGATAATAAAAATTGACAAATATTTATAATCATTAATCTAGCGATAGTTCATCAACTATATATGGCGCGTTTTTGACCGAAGGCATCGGTTGATCTGAAGGGATGCTATGACCGCGCGCTCTCCGCCCTCTATCTCGAAAACGGTTCACCGTATAAAAAAAATTTTCAAACAAAATTTGTAGAGACTTTTGTATTCTACAATATTGATAATAAACATAAATAGGAAAAACCCATAGGAAATGAGATATTTACAAAAAAAGCGAAAAACCGCGATTTTTGTGACCTTTGACCCCGAAATTTTATAGTTGCGCACACCCTACCATATGTAGGTTTTGAGACAACATTAAGGGTGTCAATATACAACTATTTACAAAGTTACAGCTGGGTATCTCACATTACGAGGTGAAATGCTAAAATGACTGGACTAATGGTATTAGATTTGCAATTATAGGTGTGCAATTATGAAACTCCTAGCTACTTTTTAATATATATTTCTTTAATCCCAACACGCATCTTATATTATTTATATAAAAAAAATATGTATCAAAATTTTAAATATGAATACATTACACTTTTAGCTAAGACCCCTTTTTACTCGTGCCCTTGCTCAAACTCAATCTCCAATCACAAAATCAAATATTTAAAATATCATATTAAAAGATATTGACTTAACAGTATAATGTTTTATTTTTACTATATTCTTTTATTTTTTCTCAGTTTGCTACAGTATATCAATCCAGAGATACAAGAGATGATTCCATAGTAGCCATTAAAAAAATTAAATTAGGGTCAAGAGCCGAGGCCAAAGATGGTATCAACAGGACAGCTCTTAGAGAAATAAAATTATTACAGGAACTGAGACATGAGAACATCATTGGTCTATTAGGTTCGAGAATTATTTGAGAGCATTTTTCATAGCTCTCAATAACCATCATTTTGTTTAATATATTTTTATATATATATATATATATATATATATATATATATATAGTTTTTTAATGTTAATTTAATTCCAGATTCATTTGGTCATGACTCAGAAGTATCCTTAGTATTTGATTTTATGGATACTGATTTAGAAGTAATAATTAAAGATACACGAATTGTTCTTACACCAGCTCATATTAAATCATATATACTTCAAACATTTTTAGGTATTCAGTCTTTTCTTTGTAGTATTAAGAGCAAAATTAATCTTTGTCCTCATTTTTAGGTCTTGAATATTTACATTACAACTGGATTTTACATAGAGATCTGAAACCAAATAATTTATTAGTTAATCGTATTGGTATTTTGAAAATAGGGGATTTTGGTTTAGCAAAATTTTTTGGATCACCTTCTAGAGTCAATACCCATCAAGTGGTAACACGCTGGTATAGGTGCTTTGCATTTTTTTAAATCTTAATCTTTTAAAGAATTATTATTTTCATACAAAATTACTTTTAAAGAGCCCCTGAACTCTTGTATGGGGCTAGACAATATGGAGTTGGTATAGATCTGTGGGCAGTAGGCTGCATTCTAGCTGAATTACTACTCCGTGTTCCATTTTTACCAGGTGAAAGTGATTTAGATCAGCTTACGAGAATATTTCAAGTTTTGGGCACACCAACAGAGGATGATTGGCCTGTAATTAATAATATACAATACAGATCAAGTATTTCCTAAATACAATCCTTTCATACTTTTAGGGTGTATCAACTCTGCCTGATTTTATACAGTTTAAAACATTTGTTCCTACTCCATTAAGACATATATTTTCTGCTGCTGGCGATGATTTGCTAGATCTTATCAGCAAACTGTTATCTATGTACCCAATTAAGCGTGGTAATTGCACAGAGATTCTGAAAATGTCATATTTCAGGTATTTATTTTATTAATTAGTATATCAATTGAAAATCACATTAATTAGTTTTGGTCAAACCTTAGACAAATTGTTTCTTCCTAATAACAGCTAAATAGCTTTTGCTGATTCTGGAAGTATAAAAACTATTTAGAAATTGGCATTTTTTATTATTATTAATTAGTGGTGAATGCAATTTGTTCAACTGACTTAAACAAATGTTTTTTGCAATTCACAAAGAAAATATTTGGATATTTATGATTTGAATATTTTTTACTCAACACTTACATGAATTGGATTTCATAATACATAATTCTTCATTGAATTCTCCTTATTTTAATAATTTTAGCAACAAACCCGCACCAACAATAGGAAGCAAATTGCCACTTCCATCTTCATTTGATAAAATTCAAGAAGATAAACCTAGTTTAAAACGTAAGATGCTTGAGAATATTGATGGAGGTACATTAGCCAAAAAACTTCAGTTTTAGTTCTATAATCTGACTGAACTATTAAATAATACCAGTTTAGAATTTTTGTTATGTACATTTATTTCATTTTATTTATAATAAAATACTAAAACTATTTTCATATAATCTCTTTTATATAAATATTTGTCTGTGTTAAGTACATTATATGTATATTTTTCTCAAGTGCAAAAATAAATATATGAATACACTTATAATAAATTCACAACTTGGGATATGTTCAGGCAAGCATATTTTCACAAAATTGTGATTTTAGAAATGTTAAATACCAAATTATCGACAGTGAACTATATTTTAAGTGTATTTGCAAAGATTAATTCATATATCTATTTTATTCCAATCCCGTTACACAATATAAAGATCAATTCATTATAACATATACTTTTGAGAATACAAAAAATAGAAAATTATTCATAGAATAATTTACAAATATACTTTTATATTATTTATTAATAAAAGTAGTGAATACTGATAACAAATGTCAATATTTGAATAAATTTTTCAATATTTAACCACTTTAATAAATTTGTTTTGTGACCAATGGTATCTAAAGATTATTTTACTAATATATAAATAAATCTGCATTCAATATATAACACATTCAAGTAATATTTGTATTTAAAATGTAAATTTAAACAATATTGTGCAAGTTTGGGTATTGCATTTTGCAACACATTCTTGATCCTGTGAAAATAAATGCTCAAAAATATGTAAATTATGCTATTCGTAAGTTGTAAATGTAATGTAGTACTACGTAGTAGTAAGATTTCAAGAAGAATGATCTTCTAAACTTATCAGTTTTAACAGTTATATTAAATATATTAATTTTATTTTATTACACTATTGTAAAATAACATTTTATATAAAATCTCTCTGTACAAATATGCATTGAATCAATAACACTTTTAATCATATTCGTACATTTATTCTTATTACAAAATTCATACAAAAATTATATATATGTAGAAATATCTTGCACATATTTACACATTGCACTATACCTTCTAATATTCACAAGTTTATTGTATCGAGATCTTGACATGGTGCTCTAGGTTCTTTAGGTGAATTTGTATTGCCTTTTCTACCACTCAGCGTCGGAAAACCAAAATCAGATGGTAATTTCTTCATTATTTTACCAGAAGTAATTAGTCGTCCAAATCCTTCTTGGTGTGCGAATGCATACCCTGATCGAATAGATCTTCTTACTTTTCTTGCAGAAGGCGTTCTCAGCACATCTGTACTGTGTCTTGATTTTATTTGTGCTAATCTTTGCTTCATTCTTATCTGAAAGCAAACAATAAAATATAAAATTAAATAAATTGCCATAAATTTATCAACTTATTTTAAAAAAAAATTATTCTTTTACTTTAGTATCTAATTGTAGGTAAATTTTTTAAAAACAGGTGATATTAATTTTTTTGTAAATTATTTTTTGAAGGAATCAAATCCCATTGAAGTCACATTTGAATAAAATCCCAGTGAAATTATATATATATATAAGTAACACAAGAAATTTATTACAATCTAGTTCATATTAAAAAATGTAATATGAACAGTTATTTTTAAATCAAGAAAATGTCCAGTTTTTGGAATTTAAAAATATGAATATAACTTTTGCCTTTCCTAGATTATCATTTCAACTAAACTTATTTACCTTTTCTGTTAAATTAGGAAAAACATCAACAAAGTAGAATCGCCAAGCTAGAACAGGTACAGTGGTTGATATTACTGTTAAAAGTGTAGTGAACCAAAATTGTGATTCTTGCATAGCTTGCGTTAAAGAACCTACATATGGACCTCCAATAACATAATTATAAAAGAAATCTAAAATAAAATATGATAACAAAGAACCCCAGGTAGTAATATGATTGAACACTGTCCAATATGATGTATCCAAGGCAATCTGAAAGATTAAAAGTAATTAGTTCAATTTATGCAAAACTTTAAATAGTTTGTTAAATAATTAATAAATTTGAACTACTGTTGTAATTATTGTAATTGTAATTTATTTTTACAAACCTGTGCAGTATTTTCTATCACTAATATTGAAGCAACCACACTTCCTAATAGCATATGGTCACTAAGAATTAAACCACTGGGTGAAACACCATCCTTGTATGTTCCTGAGATAATATATTATTTAAAACAAATGTAAAATAACATGATATATCATCAATCATAAAATACTAATCACCATAAGGTATTAAAAAGAGAAGAAGTGATGAAAAGCATCCCTGTAGAGCACTCTTCATAAATTCCGATTTATTAAATAATGCACTTGTCAGTCCTGGAGTATATAACTTAGGAAATATTATTGCATTTTTATCCGAAACATCTTGATCAAATATACCAAGAGCTAGTACTGGCAGCGAAGTATAAAATAAGTTATAGACCGATATATACATTTCATCAAATACAGTCTAAAAGATAAGAATACATATCATGGTTGTGCAAAATCGAGATTAAATTTAAATATTTGTGTATGTACTTACTTGCGCACTAAATCCACAGAAGAAAGCAAACCAGATATGGCATAAAGTGAATGCAAAATTTTTATAGAAAAAATACCTGAGAAATTTGCACATTCGATAATATGACCATCGGCCATGAACTAATAATAATCTTTCTAAGAATCTGAATTGTGCTATTGAATAATCACTTGCTAAAACAGCTTGCATGCCTTCTTGGCCAGAGATACCCACACCAATGTGCGCAGCTAAAAATGTTAAACCATTTATTAATTTGAATTAATAAATTAATAATCAGATCATACCTTTAATCATAGATACATCGTTGGCACCATCCCCTATGGCCAAAGTAACTGCATTCTTTGTTCTCTTGATGAGTTCAACAACCAGTGCTTTTTGTAGAGGTGTAACACGGCAGCATATAACGCTCTTGCACTGTGATGCGATTTCAATAAATCTTTTCTCAAGAGATGGATCCAAACAATGCACCAAGGAATGTCCATTTATCACAATTGCAAATTCTGAAGACTCTTCTGAACTGTTATTGTGAGCGCTGGTTGCCCCACCAGCAGTGGCACCTTCGTAATCGGTGTCGGTGCTATAATTTCAATATAACTGTATTATTTTATGCATCCAAAACATTGGTAAATCTCATAAAAAATATATTTTTGAAGATGTTGATTAGAAAATACAATGCGGCAGTTGCTATTTACAAAAATGCTTGGCAAATAGAGCATAAAAAATATGAATGAGAAGCACCATATGAAATTTATTATTTCAAATCCATTTGGCTCAAGTATTGTGAGAAAAAAATTATCACGATGCAAAGATTTCAAAAATAATTCATTATGTAAATATTATTACCAAAATTTCATGAATAAATTTATAGGATCAAACCTAAATAAGCTTAAAAAAATCTTTCATTGGCGCATTGACAAAATTATAATAATTATTCAAAGAAAATTTTAGATTTTTGCCTTCATTAATATTAGTTATATTATTATGTTGAGTTTTATTCAAATAATGCCTTTTACTTAAGTATTTTAAGTCATAACTATCCATAACAATAATAGTATTTTGAATTAAACAATTTTGCTCGCATTATTTATTCTTGCTCATTCAATGAAAATAAAAAAAGATTTTCCATTAAATCAAAGAATAAATAATTTCCATCAAGATTAAGACTTAGATGTTAGATGGTTTTGGCCAACAGCAATTCCAATTATAAAACATCAGTGGTGCGGACAATAAAATGTTTATCACATTTTAATGTTGAATGTATGTATCAAATTTTAATTGAATGTATCATATTTTTAGAATATCAAAATGATGCATGATATCCTAATGTGTATAAAAAATAACCATGATTTCTTGAATGACAAAACTGAATATAATTCACTTCAGATTGAAGTAATATAAGACACACATTGAAATCTTGAATTAATTTGTAAACTATACCAAATATTTATTTTTGTGAGAACCGTTTAGATAGAATTTGCATAAATTGGAACCAAGGTTCACCAATAAACATGACAGCAACAAGGCTCTTAAATAATAAATTATAAATTATAGATTATGTATTATTAAAATATAAACCACAAAGACAGTTTAAATTAATAATAACACATAGCAAACCCAATGTAATACAATTTTCCAGAACTGAACGAAAAAAAGAAAAAAAAAAGTTTTTTATTAATTTTTCAAATATCAAATTCAAGTTTGCAGCCTAGTAGTCTAAAAATAATTAGATAAAATATATTTATATATTTAGTAGTCTAAAAATAATTAGATAAAATATATTTATATATTAAATATCTCCATTTCCAATCAAATCTCAACACGTTTCAAAATAATTAGTAATGCTCATTTACTCGCAACTGGAATGCAATAATGCAAAAAAATAACGCAGAGAAAAATAAACACACATTAGAAATATTTTATAAATTCTTTTAGCTTATATAATTTCCATTTCAATTTGATTAAATTAAATTAGCATTCTTTTTGCTACTAACTCATTTTACTTTCTTGAATTGATAGAATATTGAGAGCTATAGTTCAGTATATGGAATGTAAAATTTGTGCAAAAATCCATGTTATTCTTTTTCGAACCGATTTTGTTATTACTCTAACAAAAAATTACTTAATTACTTGTTATTAATAATATTACAATTACCATATCCCACTATGTAGTGTAAAACATATACAAAGAGATAGGTCTAATTGGTTATGAATTTCTTCTATTATTACTTAAATGTAGATATTAATAAATTATATATCCAAGCTTCGCCAGCTAAGATAAAACTGAAATAATGAGTTAATATCATTGTCTATCTATTTTACTATGAGACATACTGGGATTTGATAAATAGATGTGTAAATTATAAATTATAAAAAATGCAAAATATAGATTTGTGATAAAACCTCAATAGATGTTTTAGAGTAGATAATTTTATTTACATTTGATTTGAAAGAAAAATCTGTTAAAAGAGTCGAGGACGTAAACCTAGAACACCCAATAAAACAAATTAATTATGAATAGAATTAAGCAGCATGAAAACATGTTGTTCTGAGTTATATTAGCACAATGATCAACAGATAACAAGCATCTCAATAAATATGTACAAAAGTTCATATAGCTCCCAAGAAATTATTCTGAAATACAATATGCAAATTAGAGAATGTTCTAACATACATGTGTTACAAAACACTTTTCAATAATAATAATCCTGTTTAGTTCAAAATACAAAAAATACCTAAAGCACCTTATTCCAAAAAATAAAGAATAAATTTTAGCCCCATTGAATACAAAAATAAAAAAAAATCTTTCCCTCTACCTGTCTGCTAATGTTAATTCATCATTTCCAAGCTTTCGCCACCTGTAAAAATTTGAGCGATGTTCCTTGTTAATAACGATACCAACATGTATTTTTAAATATTCATGAACATATTGGCATTAATAAACACGCAAAAATTAAGTTTTTTCATGTATGACACAAAATACTTTCATGTAAGTTTATCGAAAGTAACAAATAAAAAAGTGGTTATTTAAATGAATATATAGAAAAAATCATTTGAACAGAAATGTATAGCATGTTATGTTTTGTTATATATATATATATATATATATATATATATATATATAGGTGTGTGTATGTATGTGTACATGTGTGTAAATTAATTATAGTATAGTATGATGTGTTAGTTATGCTTGGAAGTTCACATTCAGTAATATTTTAAATCTCAGAATTATAACCATTGTGTTGCTTTGATACTAGAACGCTTAAAGTACAATTTAACCATTCAAACATGTAGCAAATAAATAAGTTTTAGAAATCTTAATAATATTATATTGAAATTGATACCTAAATGTGACAACTGATATAGCTGGTGGTGGCCGACCAACTTCGGTAGGTGTTGATAGACTTTCCGTTCTTGCTCGTGTTGGTTCTTTGTGAGGCAGCGCCATTGAACTCATACCATTGTTTGCTCCATTCGCTTGTGCTATAACAGAAATTTAGAATATTACCGTTCATATGACTACTTTGATATATGATATATTAATAATAATTTCATAATACAGCACTGGAACAATAACTACATATTATTTAAAAAATGTTTTGTCTTTTTCAATATTGGACAGAACATAAAATGTAAGATCGCGATTATTTTACATTCCAAATTATTGTTCGAGTTGGGTTTTTTATTCATCTAAAAGTAAAAAATGAATATGAAAAATATCTAAAATTTTTGTTGAACCTAGACTCACCATGTGGATGATATGTGTTAACTATCCGTATTGATTCTTTAAATTTGTCTAATTGTTTTTCTACTTCCTGATGTGTTTCACCATCAACTATGAACAAGTCTATTAAATCATCAGTTAGAAGCTGACAAGAATAACCGATATTTATGGCAGTTTCTGTGGAGAAAAAAATAATTGAAAACTGAATCAAAGTTTAATTTTTTTTTAAATGAGAAATCATTACATTAACAAAATTCTTTCAGTAAGTAAATGAATTAAAACATGAATATGATATTTGCACCTATGAGAAGCAACCAGACAAATGTGAAATGATTTTTTCTTACCTTGTTTATCACCCGTCAGAACCCAAATTTTTATTCCAGCTAAGCCTAAATTTGCTATTGTTTCTGGTACACCATCTTGTAATTTATCTTCAATTGCTGTAACACCTAAGAGAACAAGATCAGTTTCAATTTCTTCATAAATAGCATCAAGTTTATCATCTCTCGAATCCATAGAGAGCGCGGCTTCTTGTTGTCGTATTTTCCAGTTCAGAAAGAATTGTTCGTCAATCTCTCTACTTGCTAAACAGAGTGTTCGTAAACCCTCACCAGCAAATTTCTGTGTATAATAATAATTATTATTATCAATGCAATATGAAACTTTAGTAAAAAACGGGTATAACTTACATTTAAATGTTCTTGCGTTTTCGTCTTGATCTCGATTTGACCTTTAGCTAATCTTTCATAAATAACATTATCGGCTCCTTTACAAAGTAACATTAAATGACCGTCTCTTTTTACAACAACTGACATTCGTTTTCTCACATTATTGAAGTCCAATATACACAATAACTCGTATTCCTGAAAAAGAGATACAATTAGACACAGTTAGTGATCACATTAAAAATTGCACCCAAATTAGATTTTGGACGAATTGACTTTAATTTGTTGAAATCTAGAATTTATATCAGAATACAATAATTACTAGTTGCTATTTAAAAAAATAATTTTAGAGCATTGTACAAATAGAAGATGTTAAGATTTAGTGCAGTTAATAAAATTAATTAATTTTCTTACCTCAACTTTACCCATAACTTCGATGGTTATCGTATTAGGACTTCTTTCCCTAAACACGAATCCAAAATTTCTAGCTGCCGATACCAAGGCTGATTCGTCTGGACTTTGAGCCTGGTACTCCAATCGACCATTCTTCTCTGCTGGCATTACAGTATGGCAAAGTGCAAGAAGTCGAAAGAAATTATGTGTATGTACATTGTTGTTATTCACTGATTCTAAGAGTGTCTGATCGTAAAATTTAAATTCAGGTTCATATTCCGAATTAAAACTGAAATCGATTGGATCCGTGGTCTGAAAGTTTTAATTCAATTGAAAAGGTTAATATCATTATAGAACCTCAAGCATATTAAAATTAATGCAAGTCTTATTGTTAAGCTAATTTAAACTAAATAATATTTTTTTTGCTATATCCATTAGAATTCTAAATATTCAATAAGTCAATACTCACTATTATTGTTAAATCATATGTATAAGAATAAGTCATAAGGCAAAGGCAGTCTATTATGAAAATTACTTCAGTCGAGTGAAAAATTCTTCTCGTTCAAAAATAGCCTTCAAGATAACCTTTGCAACTAATATGACTATATAAAATCTAAAATGTTACAATTAAGCTATCGAGCTTCTTTTTAAACAATCAAGAATTAAAACTAGTTTTAAAAAAAATTAGAGAAAATTAAAAGACCGTCCTATCGACATCGAATCCTAAAAATTTTAACTCAACATTAACCAAATGCAATACCTGCGCTACCAAGATGTGTTCGGTAAAATCTAATCGCTATAACATACCAAAAAATTGTTAATCAATCAATAATGTGCAAATATAAAATAGTTATAATAACATTTCATTTCAAAACAACAAATGCTTCTGCATCTCAATGTATGTCTAAAATATCATAACAAACTAACACGTTATACATATTATACTAATGCTAGCATTCCATTTCTTACAGTGTAAAAAATACATAAATGTGCGATTGTGTTTGATAACTACACGGTTAACATAACTACCATCTATATTTGCACAAAGTGCTCAGTTCTGTGTATAAGAAGAAATAACAATCTAGCATACTGATTATAAACCAAAACTAATTAATGAAATGTATTTAATTTTAAAATCAACTAATTTCAATTCAACTGATTATGAATTTGATATATTTAATTGTGGGTTCGATATCATCCACTATTCAAGTCAAAGAAATATGTGTGATCAGCGAAATGTACTAACTATTTCAATTCGAGCAGTCTTTGTAAAATCAATAGATATCTTATCTTCCAATATATAAAAACAATTTATCATGTCCGACATTCAATATTTTGAATGTATAATAATAAATAAATTAGAATATAATTTTCTATATGTATTGATATTTAGTAAATAATTTTAAATTTTCAATAGCAGATATATGTGCAAAAATAGCAAAAATCATTTGGAATGAGTAGCTGCTACAAAATCATTTCAATTGTGAACAATGTGATAATTTTGAAATAAAATTGTTGGAAAAATTCATATATAATAATGCGCAAATTCAATTATACGAGTAAGATAAATGAATTATTGGTAATGGCAAAATATCATGCATAATAAAATATGCAACTTCTTCAAAAAATCGCTGTTTAAAAATCTGTTTTATGCACTTATCTACATTATGTATATTTGCACAGCTGTGTAGAATTTAGCTTGATAAAATCAATAAGATTAAATTATAATAAGTAATTCGGGCAAAATAAATAAACGGAAAGGTGTTAATAAGTATATTTCAGATATTGAAATGAATTGTATATTTTATGAAAACGACATTGGTTTTAGAAAGACTGCTAAGATATTTAATATCGTGCATATTACATCATTCACAATTTTGTAATGCACAAGCTGCAATGTGTAATATATCTAGATGAAAAATGTTGAGAAAATGATATGAAATTCATAATTTTAATACATTTCATTACATTAATAAAAATAAATATATTTAATATGTTATCAAAAATATATCTCATCAAAATTATCTTATTGAGAACTGGTAATATTGATAATGAGTTCATGGGGTAAAAATCTAACAAAACAATGAGACGGCAGGATTCTACATATGGAAAAATTATGTAATCAAAATTTTAATTCATTAAGTTTATATGATTTTATTTCGCATATTCTGTTTGGTATATCGTTTTCTTTAACTATAACTTGCTTCTAACCACCAAACGAATATTTCAAAGATTATTAAATGAATTTTGCCAATTGAGAAGTCACAACTAATCGTGAAACCAAGATTTTCTTTGACTAACAATTAAATTAATAATCTTTTGCATATAATATTGAAACTTTATTAAAAGATTCTATGGGTAAGCAAAATGAATCTAATTCACACGGATAACGACAATATACCATCGATTTTTGTTCGTGTGATATCACTTTTTATTGATACATTCACCGTACAAAAAACTATCAAGGAAATCTTTTATGTCAGAGCTAATGTATTTATTCGAAAACAATATCTATCTTAAATTGTCTACCTTAGGGGGGGAGTCTCCTTTACAGGCTTCAAAAAATCGCTTTTTTGAGAATTTTTTAGGGAAGGAAATAAATATTTAATTGAAACGAAACTTTCAGGTTTTGTTGTTATATATTTCAACATTCTTCTCAAATTTTTTGATTAAAATATATGTCACAATATGCCGGGTACAAGCATTTTGCCGATGCGCCACGAGCGTGCAGGTGTCATTTGGCGGGAAAGATGCAGGTCACAATTTCCGTTCGACACAAAAAAATCAAAACAAATATATATTTTCAATAGTATAGATTCTAGTTGAACTTAAAAAATCCAGAAAAAATGAAAAAATCACCAATTAAACTCGCAACTTAAAAAAAATCTTGATATAAAATTTCACTTTAAATTGGTGAAAAAGTGGGTTAATTATAACTTTTTTCAAGTTTTTTTAGGTTCAACTAAAATATAATTTAATCCTGAATACAAAGAATTTTGTCTCAATAAGACGCTTTTCCCCTAACTTTCCCGCCAATTGGAAAAATCGAAAAGATTAAAAACCGAGGAATCGCGTGTCGAAGTTTTCGTTCCACTCGTATACACGCTTGACGGTTGCTTACTATTTCTTCTGGAATTCCGAAAATAATTTGAATTTGTTTCTAAAATTTGAAAGTTATATTCTTGGCTAGTTTTAGAAAACATTTTTGTAAGAAAAAAAAAAAACAATTTTTTTAAGCCTCTAAAGCAGGCTCCCCCCTTTTCGCAGCATAAATCTGCGCCGATGAATATATCGCTAAGAGACGCACATGAATCAAAACATCATTTGATAAAAATTGATGTCTAAGATTATCGTAACACGGTCAAAAATATATGAGTAGGTCTAATAAAATTAAATAAAAAATAATTCTAAATAAATAAATAAATAAATAAATTCATGCATACAGGGTGTGAAGGGCTCCTGGCTCGCGGCAACCGCGGTTCCGGAGTGCTCCTCCCCACGGGGTGCTCGGTGAATAATAGCGCTGTGTGACTACTGTGACTCCTTCCATTTTTTGGGTAGCACGAAGTGGTCTGAGACTCATCGACGTATGAGGTCTGTGCATTGAATACACTATCAGAACCAGAAACTGTTCGCGCTCTGGGATTTATAACGACAACATTTGCGTGGTCGTGATGATGATTATTCGATTTTGGCTGATACTCCTCGACAGATGATGTTGTTTCGTTCAAATTTTGATACTTTGCTTTCTTTTGCCGGTATGGTGGCAGACACGAACACATGCAATACGAACGGATGCAGGCACATAATGTGGTGAATGTAGTGTGTTTTTGTGGTTTGATTGATGTTTATTGTCAGGAAACGAAATATAAAAAGAAACATAAAACAAACAATACAAATTAACTAAAGAAACAAAGTAATAACTAAAAATATGTGCAAATAATATAAAAACGGTGATACTTAAAAATTCTATACATAATTGAATTAATGACTAATTTTCATACACATTTGAAACTTTTAACCCTTTCCACTCGCGAATTCCGAATATACATTTTGCCGCCGGAGCGGATAAAAATTAATTTGATACTTCTCTTGACTAGGGTAGGGCGGGGCTAGTTGAGCATAGGGGCAAGTTGAGCAATCGAAATATCTCGAAAACTATTCACCGTCCGTTCAGGCATTATATGGCGGAAAGATAGAGGTTTGGGAGAAATAAACATCCGCGATCGCTAGTAGCCGCTGGACAAATGAGTGAGGCTCACGGGCGTTTTGTTTATTTTGAGACCAAAAAGTAAAAAAGTCATAACGAGTTTTCGTCTAGTTTAGTCAAATGTTATTTATTTTTAACCAGGTAAATTTTATTCTTCCATATAATTATAGTACTTTTAATAAGCACAGAGATTCTGGGTATAATTCTCACGGTTTTTTTATAAACTCACTTTTATTTTGAAATTCCGAGTTGGGGCTCGTTGAGCATAGTTGCTAAACTTGTTTTGTCACTAAGACAATTACCATTAACTTCCAGAAATTAATTATTATTTTTAAGATTTAAGCTAAGTCTATGAGTAATGATATAAAGAAATAATGATTTTAAACAAAAATACTGAATATAATGGTAAAATAATTCCTAAGTTAATTAATCGTTAATTATTCAAAGCAAATTACTATAAGTTTTGTTTTCTCTGTCAATAAAGACTATAAATATAGAACTGGTTATTAAAAACTTATTTTATTTCATCACTAATCGACATTGAACCTATAATTTCATTATACTTTCTTAGTGCTCAACTTGCCCTACCTATGGGGAACATTGAGCATACTTGACTTTTTGCATTCAAACAGCTGTAGCTTTTAAATTTTACTTATTACCAAAAACTAGTATTAACACTTTTGTTATGTGATAAACAACAAATCCATTAAGCCATATTGCAATTTATTGAGACTTCTCATTGAGGAGCTACATCCGTTTAAGTAAAAATTTGCTCAACTAGCCCCGCCCTACCCTATCAATTTAACAACCAAACAATTAATGAAATAAAAAAAGTTGAAGTAATAAATAATAAATATTAAAATGAAATATAGTTAAAAAAATTTGACCCTAGAAACATTCACAATTTCTCATCAAAAAGTCAATTATTTTACAGTACCCTAACTTAACTAAAAAAGCTAATATCATAAATTTGTAAATACTATTGAAAACAGTGAACGATATTCAATGTGTAAACTGATGTAATACGAGTGCATGAAAATTATTCATAAGTTTAAATATTGTGTTCGTAATTTTTGTTGTGAAAAGTTTAACAAGCCATAACAAGAAACTTAGAACATGCACAAAATAATTACTATTTTAAGTATGGCATTACATGATTCAGCACATAGCAAAGTAAACACATACTTCTGAAAGCTCCATAATTTCACCAGTTTTCAGATCTATAGCGTCTCCATATGAAATTCCAGCTATTGAGCACTTATTGAACGTCATGATGTTTTGAGTCAATGTTCCAGTTTTATCAGAGAAAATATATTGAATTTGGCCTAAACATAAAGATATATTGCTACATACTGAGTATGCTACCAAGACATTAAGTTATTAATAATAAAAACTAATTTTATTTTCAAGATATTTTCAAGTAATTATGAAAGTTAATATTTCGAAGAGTGACCATACCTAATTCTTCATTGAGTGTTGTCGTTCTAGCTTTAGCAGATGTTTTCGTCTTCTCATAATACATTTTTTCATCCCAGTTGATAAGAAAACTTTGTACAAATCTAATAACTTCTACAGAAACGTACAATGATATCGGCACTACAGTATTTAACACTATTGCATAACTGAAAAATACTAGAAATGCTATAACAGTTGATCCGGTTAAAGGTTCTCTTGGTACAATAGAATCCCATGGTAAATAAACCTAAAATATTTTATAAGAATTATTAATATAGTTTCATAAAGTTAATCCAATACAGTCAAAAGTATTGAATTTACCTGAAAATCTCGACCAACAAGTCCTTCCCAGATTCCACATCCAACCATACAAAATATGCACATAGAAATTAAGAAATATACAATCTGCAAATGTACATAAATGAAGGTTATTATTACATAAAATATTACATTATTCTGCATATTGAATGGTACTTACACCAATAATTAAGAAATTTAATAATTTATCTATACTAGTTCTTTTTAATTTCGTTTTTCCAGAATTTTGCATCAATTTTGTATCTTTTCCAGCAAAAATAACAACACCATAACACCATTGAGTATTTCTCAAAACACAGCCACGAAGCAGGATCTTTTCATTATCCAAAGAATATCGTTTGCCTTTCCACGTCAAAGCACCTATTATAATTCGAATTATATTTATAAAAAGTTCATAAAAGATGTTCTTGATGAAAAATATGTTAATAAGCAACAATAACAAAAATTAAATTTTTTCATAATAAACGATTATAAAAATACCTTCAAATTTATTAAGTAAGTTATTAGGTGTTTCACAAACGATTTCTCCGTTAAATTGTCCTAGAAGATCATTCCGTTGCCCCATTTCTGCAGTTTCCGGAATACACTGCCTACATTTTAAGTTTGTTTCTCTACAAGCATAAAAAATAACTTTCAACATCTTTACATTTGGAAACATGTAGAATAATGATCTGTAAAGTTTTGGCAAATACAAATATTGGCAACGTAATATTACATTAAAACCGTAAGTGTAAGTTTAATCAGCACTAAAATGCACATTAAAGCAAATTTAATACAATGATCAAATAATTAAAAAAAGTCATTAGGAGTCCATTAATCACGTGAGGTTTTTAGGGGGAAGGGGTTTTGACAAAAAATCGCTAAATATCACGTGGGGGAAGGAGGGATATAGTAAGATACACGTGTATTTATTTTTTAACTAATTTAAAAAAAAAATCAAACATTTTCAAAAGAAAAATAAAACATTTTATAGTTTTATCACGTAACTAAAAATACACGTGATGTTTGGTGCGAGAGGGGGGTAATTTTGAAAATCACCATGTATCACCAAGGGAAAGGGACGGTCCAAAATTCCTCAAAAAGTTGCTCACGTGATTAATGGACGCCGCCTTAGAATAATATTACCTAATTAGAAATAGTGAAATTGAAAGTTATCAAAGTATAAAATTTCGATAAAACCTACGATATCAACAAAAATGGGATAGTAAAATAAATACATACTATTCAAGCATTAAAATCTTAACAAAAATGAGTAAAACATTGAATTTTGTAGTTAAAAATGTAAAAATACCTATATGACATAAAAATAACTATATTTGCCAACTCTCAATTTTGCATCATTATTTCAGAGTAAGAAACCTTTATGGGTAAAAATAATATTACTCTGTCAACACTTCCTTGCAATTTAAGTACAGTTTAATATGGGATTAAATATTAAACAAATCATTAATACAATTCTGATGAATTAAGAAATAGTCCACTTTCATATTATTTGAACTAATTTATAATTAATATTCAAATAAAAAACTTATATAATGGTGGGATCACGTGGTTTACTTAGTGGACTGTAATTGATTATCCCATAGCTATAAAATGTGAATAAAAATACAATTTATGCTGTGATATATATATACTCAAATGATTTGAGTCAAATCTAAATATTCCTACTCGCCGACTTTTTGCTAGACTTTATTCTTATAAAAAATATCAGGTATTTGCGAGAATTTAAAAGCTACTACTCCGAGAAATTTCGGATTGGTTACCAAAGATGGTCAAATCTTAACCATATAAAGGTTGGCAATAAGCAAATCAGATCCTTTTGGTCTAATTACTTGACTTTTGTGATTCCTGATCTTAGAATATTATTGCAATATGAGGTTGAATATTATATTTGGCTTAACGCAAAGCTGAGGTCTGCAAAATAGATGTCACAATTTGTGACAAAGCTTTGTGACTCACAAAGCTTCATGTGAATAGATAATAATAATTTTATATTTTGTAACTCATCAAAATCTGAAATAATTTTCACAGTAAATTGGTTATAGTTGTACATACATGTTTCTTAATTCTTTATATCGATATATTTCAACGACACTTTACAGCCAAATTATGTAGAATATCGTATTGAATGTTGTGAATATAATATTAGTGGAACTACCCTCGACAAAAATTTAATTAAATACCTAACGAAGTTCACTCACCCGTCAAGTTCTGCTGTTTCAATGAAGCACAATCCGTTAGGTTCGCTGGTCGTCAGCAGCAGAATGTCTGCCGCCACGAACTGGTCGTTGTCCATTCGTATGACATCACCGACCTGGACGCCCGACCATCGCTCCTCTACCAGTTTGCCGTTGCGCAGCGTCTTCGATCTTCGCTTGTTCACTTGCGAATCGGACATATGCCTTTGCTAAATAATAATAGATTTAGAAAAAATAAATTATGTTATCATATTTAATGAAAAAACAATTCCAATATAGCAAATGCTACAATACCTATCACAAATAGTATACAATTTTCACGATTTAATTTTTTCTTTAATGTATATTGATATTAAACAATTATAAAGAAAAAAAAGAGATATTTTAAAATGAAGCGATTGCGAAGCAGTTCTTTCAGTTTTTATAATTGGCACATATAATATCCGTAATATTTTATTTAATTGCGAAGCAGTTCTTTCAGTTTTTATAATTAGCACATGTAATATCCGACATATTTTATTTTACTTTCAAAGATCACTGCTAGGTTAAGAATATTAATATTGAAAGCCAACAATTTGGAATTAAAAATGTTCTCAAGTGTATAGGAATTTTATATTAATAAATCAAAATTGGAAAAAAACTTAATTATCAAACATCATTGCATAAAGTGTTTTCGAAAAGTGTAAGGGTAATAATTTGATATCGCAATGTATTTCAATTCGATATCGCATGTATTTCAAGAACAAGAGAATTTATAAAAACATATTTCATTTCAAGTTGTTTACATAAAATAAATAATGACTACATGAAATCGAAGCTTATCAATTAGCAATTCCTTATAAAGTCGTTCAATAACCTTTACAGCGCAAATATATCTATCGTGCAATAAATCAATACATTCCCTGTAAATATTTTTCTGTAGAACTTTTTTCAAAGCTAATCAATTTATGTAGAATGACAATTGTATTCTTATATTATTGTGTGAACAAGTAAAACAAGTCGATCTCAAATTTTTTCAGAAGGAGTATAATAAGAATTTGATATAATTCAAATGTACTGTTTTATACATTTCGTAAAAGTTTATAACAGCCGCACTCGACGGCTCGAAAATAAAATGAATTCCAATTTATAAAAGAAGGAGACACGCGGGATTATTGGAATATTGCAAGTACATGTCAGACAAATTCCTATATGTCAAAGAAGACATCTAGTCCTTTTTATAGATAGAAAGAAAGCTTTCGAAAGAATCAACGTGGAAATTAGAAAAAAAAATTGGATGCATGTCGAAAATTTTGTTAAACGTTAAATTAAGTAATTTATATAACAACAACCATGAAGTACATAGATCATTTTAAAAAAATCCTGCTACGAAGTGATATTCACGCGTTCACGGACGTGAATGCTATAGCATCATTGTGATGCAAAAAGACTTAAATGCTCAAATTTTAAATTTGTTTAATTTAATTTTATATAACCTTACGTTTTCGTAATTATTATATCTATCAAGGTAGTGAATAACTGATTCTTCGGGTATTTTCATGTTATTTTCCCTGTGTATTTACAAATTTGATTAATCAAGCACATTGCGTAAAATAGAAGCGTAATACTTGACGTGGATGCTATAGCATTCATCGTATATGACGATTAAAATATTATAATCTGACTACCATTATAAACGGTGTTTTATCAAATTTCGGTGAAAATATAAATTTGTTTTGTTTCGGATGGAAATCGTGACATGCATATTTCCCGCCAAATAACATCTGAACGCTCGTGGCGCATCGGCAAATGCTTTTACCAGGCATAATATTTTAATGAAAAAAAATCAGAAGAATTTTGAAATATATAACTTTAAAACCTAAAAGTTTCGTTTCAAATAAATATTTATTTCCTTCCCCAAAAATTCCAAAAAAAAATTTTGCTTCTAAAGCAGGTTCCCCCCTTGAGCAAAACAGTGCGTGGAACTTTAAAAATAAAGTATATGTAGTTTAACATTTTTTCGTGAACATCTAAAAAAATATTTTAATCGCCCATAATAAATAAATTCATTATGCGAACTGGTAAAGATGTTCAACTAGTGCATTTCTGGACGCATGAGATCATGTCAAATTGTTTATATTTTCAATGTATTTGTTTTATTTCTGCATAGCTTCAAATTGTTCTTGACATAGCATATTGATATTTTAGAATATGTTCAGATTTTCTTGAAAGTTGCAATATCCAATCACTTAACTGGTAAAAAGGCATTACAAATGCAATAAAAATTGTGTTATTATTATTGGTGATAAGAATATTCACAATGCAAATCGAAATGTTCTTCTCGTATGTCTGTATGAATATAAATAAAACATAATAAACGACATATGCAGGAACGACTAGATTATTCGAACACTAAAATATATATAACGTTATACATCACATTTCAATTCTAAAAATAGTACGGAACTTACAAAATCATCGTATGCATCTTTAACGGCGGTCAGTGCGAGCACTCCGAACAAAGGCATAGCCGTAGTGACCGGCGTCAAACTGCTGATGGCGGGTACCAGCTGCAGCACGAGGAGAACAAGAAAATAAAAGTTGGCCAGGCGCTGGAACTGCTCCAATAGATTGAGAGGCAGGAATGTAAAAATGCTGTACTTAGATGTTTTGATGATATTATTCTGAAACAAAATATAAACAATAAGTATTTGTAAAATTTAATCACTTAATTGCCAAATTTAGTAACATAATAGTCGATTCATTTTTGTAATTTTGCAATTTTGAATTATATATGAAGTATCAAATCAAATTGTATAATAGTGACAAATCATTATGATCGATGGAAATTTTTTCTTCGACTATATATATCAAGCAATTCAATTTCTGATGACAAACACGACTTGGCGTTTGTAAAAAGGCTAGTGAGTAATTAAATTAAACTTTTTATGTTATTAAATTGATATCCTTAAGAGCAAAATTAAAAAAAGTAAAAGTACATTTTTCTATGAAATATTTCAAAAAGTAAGAGTTTTTGCAGTAAGAAAAATGTATGTAACAAGCATGTATATCTTAATTATATGAATAGAATAAGCCATACTTACCGCATATTTAAATTGAGAATTATATTCTCTGTCATTGGCCCTGATTCTACGTTCGGTTTCTGAAATAAAAGGAAAAAGAAATATAATACCCAATAAAACAATAAAATAAATTATGTTAAACGGTATAAATGGCGTTAGTTACTTTATTAGAACGTTTACGATCGTGCGACCAATATCTTTGGAGAATTCTATCTAGGCCAGACATTACGAAAATTATATTGTTTTTGTTAATGCGCAATATATGAGCAATCAATGGCAATAATATGGCCACAAAGTTAAACGGTCAGATCGATGAGGGTATGGCATTTTTTTCGCTAAGAGACTAATAATTATGATTTTGTCGATAGAATTTTCAATGATAAGGTGGAAAAGATATAAGAACGGATAAAAATGATCATACGATATAAAATACCGCTTAATGCTGGTTCGTTTAGCGCTGTTTCAGTTTACCGCTGTTTCGGTTTAGCGCTATTTTTTCAGCCCGGGCATTCTGCAAAACATGGGAGAATCGTGGATAAAATAAGTTTATCATAATGAAGTAAATGTGAAAGATATCGAACAAATAGATCAAGAAATATTTCTAGTCCCTTACAAAGATCTGAAGCAATCAAACAAGCAATCAACAAAAACTTTGGTAATAGTGATTCGAAGAAGAGCAAATAAAAGTGTTTCAATGTTTATTGATGAAAATCATATTTTTTTCCAAAAATTCAAAAGCAAGACGAGCTCTTATAGATGCTTTATCCAAATCGATTTAACAACTTATAAAAGTACTTCATGAAAATCGCAAACTGTATTTGCAGCCTTTTTAACGAAAATGAAAAAAAAATGGAAGGACAGACTAAATATATTTATTCAAGTACTGAGATTATAATCTGCCTTAATTTTTTTATTTGTCGTTTTTAAAAATAGATTATACATTTATAGATTAAAATAAAAGTATAGATAGAACATCATAAGGACTTAAGTCTGTGATTAATCACAAGTGAGATTCTTCAAAGTGTTGAAAACCTAAGCTCATTATAAGATAAAATTTCAAACAGAATTAAAATCAAATGATAAATAAAATAAAAACAAATTACCTTCTAACGAATATGTATCTTCAAAATAATAAAGTTTAAGGTAGTTAAAAATCACTAAATGATCAGTATAAATAAGATTAAATAAAGTGCAGACAAAATGTATCGTGAATGAACAAATGAATAATAAAAACATAATTTATTTTGTACAAGAAACAACAAAAAGATTTGCATTGTGTATAAATTGTGCCTAAAAGATTTAATAAGATTTTTGTTCTTGTACTTTTAATTACAATATGTCATACTAGAACATTCACTAATTCTTTTGACTTTTATTATATAGATTTTTAAATGGAATGGCAACCCAGAAGTTGTCCAATTCAGTTGGATATAGGCTATATTTGAGATATGTAATCTCAAGTAGAAAATTTGACATCAAAGCTGCCTGATGCCGGGTTTTGACGGTAGCAGAGATCGAACCAGCAAACCCGGGACTAGTTGGTGCTAGACCGTTAAAGTAAACTTCAGAACATCTTTATTAAGATGAAAAAATATTTTACGTCAAAATTAGAAATGTAAAGTAAATATTAAAATAACCCCTTTTTAAAATAATCTTAATTTCAAAAAATATGTTTATATAGTTAAAGGTATAAATGGATGAAAAAAAAAAGAATTTAGTCTGACAAAAATAAAAAGTTTAAATTAACAATTTTTAATTTTTTTCGGAAAAAGTATTTATAAGAACTAAAATGATTCAATGTAAATTAAAATCATCTATGTGGAAAAATTCCTGAGAATGAGTAATCCTCATCTCCAAACTCCGAAATATAACAGTTTCTTTTCAAATAAAACAAATTATGTTTTTGATAAGAAACAATAATCTATACATACATTTTGAAAAACATGAATTTGCCTTTCACTGTAATTCAATAAAATTGACGAAATAAACAAAAACAATATATTTAACGAAACTAAGAATTGCCAAGATTGGCTTAGAATACATGTAGGGGGATTAAAGATAAGGAGAACAAGAAGTTTTATCACGTCTTACATTTCCTTGAATCTAGGCGAGAGCGGTAATAAAAATGAAGTCTTGTGATAATATATGTTTTTCTTATGACTCATTGAAAGAGCTTGGCATTATTTCGAATACCGTGGAGAAATGTTGGCATTGTAAGTTTTATTTTCGAAATAGTTATAAAACGATTGTAAATTAAATTTGGAATACCGTATATTGCAATTTATATTAGCAGGGACACTTTTTTTAACATTACACCCTAAGCTAGTAGCTTCCAATATTTTTGTGCCTTCCCTATAAAAAAGATGTTGCGCTATTTCCATTTTGTGCATTCCCTATAAAAAAGATGTTGCGCTATTTCCATTTTGTTCAAACCAATTTCATAAGCACTCAACAGATTATAATTTATTTACTGGGCTACAATAATATTGAATATTATTGCATAATTATGCAATCATTTTTTATCAATTAATTTTTTTTGTTTATATTCGAAATTCATGACTGTATCTCAAGCCCCGTAAGAGAGCGGCTACGCGGGTTGCAAACCGCTACTTTAATTTTATTTTATATTTTTATTATTTTATGTAACTGAGCTTAATTAATATAAGATACTGAATAAAAGGCGTCGACGGTTATCACTTTGATATCATAAACTTGCACATAATTACACCCAAATATTATAAGCCTTATAATAAACATATACCTTTTCAAATGCATATTTTATTGATATTTAAGCGCGAATCTAATTTAACACCAACAAAATAACACCAACGCTCATTATAATTATGTTAACATTTGGAAAAAAAAACTGTTTACGCCTAAAGAAAAATTGGGTAGATTTGCAACAAGAACAAACCACAAGCAAAATCTGTGAAAAACTGGTTTTTCCATAGATGGTGATAAATCGTGATTGCGGTGCGTCTCTTTTCCCACAGGATTAAGAGTGCCAGAACCCCGCCTCATTCATTGCAGCAAGTGCACGCGACCTACCAGACTACAATAGATTTATATAGAAAAGCGATGATTGACAGTCTTAATAAAAGGGTGCTGTACGTACAGCTGTATGACACCAAATTAATTTATTGCTCGAAGTCGATTGCAAATGGATTATTGAAATATGAAAAAGATCACATCCGCAAGTAACTAAGACCTACTCTATTTTATTCTATTACTTTAACCCTCCGTCGGTCGGCGTGGTCTGGCCAGACTTTTTTTGACTTCAATTAAAAAAAAATACTTCTAGTAATCCTATCGACTTGAAATTTCTTGACTTTTACTAAAATTTCATTAGCTGTCGATCAATGAAAAAATCAGGACGAAAAAATGTACAGAAGGATAATTATAAGGATATTAACTTTTTTATACTTCGAACGGTCGGAAAGGTCTGTCTAGACCAACCATACATTTTGTATGAAATATACGCTTTTTGATATAAGTAAACCAGTATTTTGTCTTTTTTCATGGTATTTTCTATTCAAACTGCGTTGTTTATATTTTTTGCTGTGTTCTAACATGAATGTTAGTATTTTCATGACGAGAGTTCCTTGAAAACCTACCAAACTTATTGGTAATCGCAAACACTGAGAATCGGATGAGTAATGCACACATTCATTTCAAAGGCGCCGAAAAAGAATAAATATTGTTTTTCATTGATTTAAAACAGAAAAATTAAAAAAAAAAGCAACGATTTTTTTATATTTCTTGATTTGTTTATATAATCGTTAATACATAAGACACCAAAAACTCATTTATCCCATATAAATGCATGTAAAATAAATGGTGGTCCAGCCAGACCTTTCCGACCGTTCGAAGGTGAAAAAATATCCGACCGACGGAGGGTTAAATATACTTATTATTTTTATTTATATAGATAGTTATGTAACGGTTAGTCAAAATTCAGTGACTGCATTTTCAAAATTTAGTAGCATTTTGTGGAAATAAATTTAAAAGGCTTTTTTATAGGATGAAATTAAAAAGATTTTCATCATATGATTAACAAAGACCAAAGTTTGTTCCATTTGTCAATAATAATGGCTAATCAATAATAGCAAGTACTGACGACAAATCTAGCCATCTCCAATATTTAATTTATAAGCTATATTTCATATAAATCTTGCAAACAGTAATTTATTTTGTACCATCGATTAATATCTATATTAGATTCTACATAGCTCAATTGGTAATACTTGGTATTTAACGCTAGATCTACTTTTATTAATTAGGTAATATTACTGTCTACAAATAATATTTTGCGTATTGGAGAAAATATAACAACCAAATAAAACCGACCTCGCTATTATCAATAATAGCGAGTACTGAAGACAAATCAAGCCATCTCCAATATTTAATTTATAAGCTATATTTCAAGTGAATCTTGCAAACAGTAATTTATTTTGTACCATCGATTAATATTTATATTAGATTCTACATAGCTCAATTGGCAATACTTGGTATTTGACGCTAGATCTACTTTTATTAATTAGGTAATATTACTATGTCTACAGATAATATTTTGCGTATTGGAGAAAATATAACTTAACCAAATAAAACCGACCAGTAACAATGAAGGACTTGAAGTACTGGCTGCTTGCAGATTCTGACGGACCAGGTCCTGTAACAGAACCCTGATCTCTCCTATAGTATCGTCTGTTATCGCTCCATACAACAAGCTTTCCAATGACGGTCAATAGTGAATTCCGCAGTCCATGGTGTTTCCTAGGATTTCTCTGTGGCAAACTTTCCGAAGAATCTACACAACCTGCGGCATCATCAGATCCTCGACAACCGAGATTGACACTAATATTGATATTCGTCGACCTGACATCGGGCAGGGACCGCTCCCGTCGTTCCGCCGCTTGGAGATAAGGGCTACGTTTCGCTCGCACTGAACGTGACCTTTCGCAACAACAATCTCTGCCCACGGAACTTTTGCCACGAAAGCGCTTTCCAGATCGTGACTGTTGCCGATGACGATGCCTGGAATCACTACAACGATGGAGTGCCCCGTCCTCGCGTTTGTCACGTCCATCATCTTCTTCTTCGTCATCATCATCGTCATCGTCTTCATCATTATGATCGCGATGCATGTCGAATAGTTCGAGTTCTACAGCGTCCGCAGATCGCATTACACTTTGTGTTCCTGCTCCAGATCTAGACAAATTCCTTTCAATTTTACCTTGGTAGAAACCGCGGTACCATCACCGTTTTGCACAAGATCCCTGCATTCTGTCCACTTTCTTGCATCAAATATTTGATCACACCCTTATTAACTATTTAATATTTACTATCACGTTATCAAAACATTGGCATACGTTATCCGATCAATACATCCGCCATTGTATATTCATGTTGTCAAATGATAATTGTCAACAAAATATAAAAGAATTTTTTTTATAAATTAAAGGTAATACAAAAATAAACACATTGCCAACTTTAATCACGAACTTGCAAAAACTTAAGATAAAACGTCTAAAGCGTCTTTGCAGCGACCCGTGCACACGATCTGACACATCACTTGATCGTTCCAATGAGAGGGGTGCTATTAAAGTACACGGTGCAATGACATTGAAAGCGCTTGCGCAAAGGGAGGCGTTGGTGCAATAGGAGCAGACGAATTCTTATTCCTTGACGGCAGATGCCACCTCAAATTAACATTTAAGTGAAGATATAAACAACCATTAAAAATAGCAATTTGAAGTATATAATTAATATAAATTGATCTTCAGCTATAATAAACTCTATAAACCCAACAAAGCAAATCATCTAAGGCATTAAAGTACATTATATTGAGGTTTTGATTACTTCTCTTTACTATTGTATTATATATTTCTACATAAATCTTAACGATTTTATTTTTATGCATTCATGAACGTATACATCAGATTGCACCATTATAAAATTCTAGTGCCCTAGACGCCCCCTAATGTCCATTAATCACGTGATCTATTTTTTAAGAATTTTTTGACCCCCCTTTCCTCCTTGGTGATTCGTAACGATACTCAAAATTACTCAATCTCTCCCACCAAATATCAAGTGTATTTTTAGTTACGAAAAAAAGTTGTAACCCACCCTCCCCCTAAAAACCTTACGTGAGACGACCCTTAAAGCGTTTAAAACAATTATGTCGAAACTTTCCCTTTTCTACTTTTTTCTAGCTGGAAGAACTTATGTGTAAAAATATAATTTTTCACCAACTAATATCATTGACATAATTTTGATGAAAGAATAAATGTTACTATCCCCTCCCCCTAAAAATCTTGCGTGAGACGCCCCTTTAAAACGTTTAAAACAATTATGTCGAAACTTTCACTGAAAGCTCTAGCTAGAAGTACTTATGTGTACGAGTATAATTTTTCACCAACTAATATCATTGACATAATTCCTCTGAAAAAGTAAATGTTACTTAAACCTGGAAAGTATTTGGTCTATTGTCAAATGCTTAACTCATTCTATTTCAAATAGACTTTTCATTGATAACTATCTACGATTCAAAGTCTAAACGTCCCAGTTAAGTAAATCATCTAAAATAAACTAGGTGCAATAATCGACTTAATAGACTGATATTAATTAGATTGAGATAGTTATTCGGATAAAATATTTAACTGTTTATTACGAAAATTAAGTATTGACTTTTACTAAAAATACATCACATCACAAGAGACTTTTGACAAAAATTTTAAAAATATGTTCAGATTTTTTCTTTTATTTATTGTAACTTGATTTGTAAATCACTAATTTTATTACGTATTTAATCTATTAGTCAAACTTCTTAAAGTCACCTACTAACAAATATTTTCAATCGGCACAAAAAGGGATGCGAATGGGTAAACTCTATTTTGGTCATAACATTACATATTGTCATTTATAATTACTAAATGTTTTACTTTTGTATTTTAAAAACAGATTGCAATTAGGCACCTCTGTCTGAGATATGAAAATAATGTATATATGTAAATAAATAAATAAATAAATAAATAAATTGAATCTTGAGAAGTAAGTAAGTGAGTTGAATCTTTGATTATGAGAAAGAAAATTACTCGCCCTAAATTAATTAGTATTATTTTAAGTATGGTGTTTAATAACAATTATTATATTATTATTTTATATTTAGCAAGTGTCTTCTTTAATAATAAAACGGTTATTAAATTGCAATTAAAGCAAATTGTAGTAGAAGTAGACAAATATCACTATAGTATTTAAAAAATTTAATGTTAGTTATATTACATGTTTCATATAACTCTATATAGCGCCAGATTATTCATTCAAACGTCAAACAGTAAAATAAATATTCCATTTCACGGCATATAAAATGACATTGACATAGAAGCTATCATGACTGCATTACCTGTTGATATATCGAAAACGAATATCGAACGGCGCATTAAAAAATTAGTGGCCTTTTGCAAGGTAACGATGGACATCACGACTAATCTCTTCTCCATTTAGCCACTGTAGGCGATCAAAAAGTATTCACATAAAAAATAAAGTTTAAACAAAATACAAAAACGTTATAAGACATTTTTCTGTCGAGGATTACATATTAATATCTTAATTGCGCGAGTAACTCTATGGTAACTTAAATGACACATTTTCTTCGCTGTCACTAAATCTTATTTCTTTTGTTTAATCAATAATTTTAGATTGATATCTGATACTCAAATCAGACGATATTTAAGAATAGTTTACTGAAATTATGGCTATTTGTCTGTACTTTAAACTTCATCTATTGATTTTATATTAATAACTTCAAATTAATACGTAAATATTACTAATTTAATTGCAACGATGAATAATAAGCAAATCTTTCTTAGAGTTCAGAAATTATTCAGGATTACGTTATTATTCTATCAGCAAGATTCAGCTTTTAAAATGTAATGAAGTTTTTAATTCATTGAACGTTGATTGTAAACATTTCTGTTTAAGGAATAGTTATTTCTTCAAGCTTTTGAGAATCATAAAGGTGAGTTCATTTTTTAATCATTATTTTGCCTCATAAAATAAGTTCTAAGAAATTTAGCATCTTGACATTGGTCAGAGGATTTTTTTGTAAGTCGATTTTCTATTCTTGAAATTTTGCTTGTTTGCCTTTCAGGACAGGTGTAAAAAGTATTTTATAATAATAATAAAACAAAGTAATTTAAAAATATAGACAATTTCAGAATGTGACCAATTTTATGATTTGGAAAGAGAAAGGTGGTGATTATCTGTAACTAATTATGTAAATAAGCGAAATTCTAAAGAAATTATGTGAATTCATAAAACCCTCTTTTATATATTTTGCTTATGTAATTAAAGCAGTTTAATATTTACTATTAAATTTTATTTCAACTGAAAAGATCTATAAAAATAATAATTTCTACAGCTATTATTAGTCCTTCAATAAATAGCATTTTTTTGCAAGAAATAAAAATAGAAATTGAGTAAATAGTATGTTAGATATGTTTCATTTTCAAAAGTATTGATAACTGAAATTACTGACTGTAAGTGTCACCATATTTTATTTTGTGTTTATTAAATTTTGTATTATATTTTTTCATATTTCTCAGAAAATAAAATCTATGACAATAATAATTTTTTAGTAATCAAGTTACTGAATTTAAATTTTTCCGTGCTGTATATGTTTCAACTTCGGATGTAAAAACAAAGAAAAAAAATCTAATAATACAAATGCTAAACGCTTTCATTGCCAAAGCCACATTAACCAAAAATTTTACAACTATTATTGAGCTTGCATTTATTTTTAGTTTTTATTAACTAAATAAGCTAAATGAAGATATAATGGCATATATATTTAAATAAATATGCATATAGAGTAAATTATGAATCATGATGTGGACTAATATTTACAATTAAAATATAATGTCTCATGGATCAAACAGTGTACTATGTTCTATTTAGAGCGTGAAGTATGATAAATCATGAAAACATTTTATAAACATATTTCCGATGAATCAAATAATATCGTGCCGGAAAACTGATTAAATGTATGTTTTCAACGAGTTTTTGAAAGAAGATAACCGAGCCAGTCGCTAAAATAATGTTTTAAATGTATTCACAATAATTAATTACAAATATTCAAGCAATATATTGGGTAAGATTACTTTTTTCATAAAGTATTAAAAAAAATGAATTATTATGTCAATTAAAGTGTACTCCAGAGTTTAGATTTCACGCTTTTTATTCCTTGTTAGTTAATTATTCTAAATTCTTATACTTCGATTTTATCAACATTGATGATAACTGTAAAGCATTTTTTTTTAAATATTGCTGCTAGAGGTGCACAATTATTTTAAAGAGTAATTGGTTAGTAGTTCAACTTTATAAATATATATTTTGCGAAATGATAAAACTTATAATCTAATCAAAAATATATGAAACAAATTATGAGATAATGATATTTTATGTTAAACTTACCAGTTCCATGAGTTTTGCTGTTTCCTCTTCCCATCTTATCTTATAAATATATTTTATATATTCAATAAAATTAAATATTCCCGTATGATAAATTTTTGGTTTAGGCACTTTATATAATTTAAAAGATTTTATCTTTGTATATATTTTATTAAAATTAACATTGTGTAGGCTCGAGATTAAGGTCACTTTAATTAATGTCGACACTTTAATTATATCCCGACATCATAAGAAATATTATGAAACATTAAATTAATATAAATCAACGTATTTATGCCGTTTAAGTAAAAACTATTTAAGAGGAAAGACACTATAGTTTTCAGTATAAAAATATAAATATTTTCTTTGTACATGTATATTTTAAAATATTACTACAAAATAATGTGTTACGATTGAAACCGCGAGTAATTTCATATATAAGGCGATTATTTTAATTTTGCGTTAGATCACGGTTTAAGTCTTGTAGTTGAGAGTGGCGGCGATCTTAGTGCGTTAAGTTGTTTCTGAGAGTACTTAGCATTGTCGCCGGCCATGGGATGGAACCGGCCTTCATCGACTACCGCACTACTGATTCTGTAAACAAATAAAATAGAAATATTAATAAATACACCAATAAATTTATGTCAAATGACTAATTGTTAGCTATGCCTAGATGGCAACGCTATATTGTATGAATGTTGGTATGAATGATAGTATGGGTTAGGATTAATCTGAATACCGATGTTCGATATTTGAAATTAGTGACATTGGGATCCCGATATTAATACCGGTATTATCAATGAAAAAATTACTAGTCATATTTTTATTTACCGCAGTTGTTATATGGCATATTAACATTATTACTGTTCTAAAATGAGTACAAATTAATTATTTTATTACATAGAAAATAGGAGTAGATAGATAGCAAAACAAAACAAATGGAAAGAAAAATGAAATCACTGTTCTGCCTTCTTAATGGTAAATCTAAATTATCATTAAAAAACAAAGGTCTACTTTATTAAACGACAATAAAACCGATTTGGACTAATGGCATAGAGTTGTGCGTCTCCGCCAGTAGATCAAGAATTTCAAAATTTTAAGGTGTATTGCAAATTTACTTTGGTATGCCAGTAATCAAATACTACATAACTATCTGATAGTCGTATCCAGGAGTTACTGAAAAACAGAAGCGGAATTCATCACGACAAGATCATCAACCACAACAACCCCACATTGATTCTTGTATTAAAACTATCACATATTAGAAGATTGAAGAAAAAGCATCCCTTCGATCTAATACATTAAAATAGAGTAGCCCACTGGGGTGACACCTTCATCATGTCATATGTAGAAATCTAGTACTATTACTGGAATAAGCTCAAAAGTCATAAGCTAGACTTTTTTTCTGCTTGCTGTTTAATTATTGTTAGAAAAAGGTTTTGCGCCAAAAAGTAAGACCTTTATCTAATCTATTTTTTATTATTCCGCTAAAACTATCAACTGATTTTTAGCTTTTTAAAACTCATCGTTATTGACGTTTTCTGATCGATCATTTTTACCAATATTTGATATTCGGTAAAACAAAAATTTTAAATTTTTTTAAATGTTTCAATTCAAATATTTTACTTTAAAAAATGTTTTACAATTACTTATTTAAAATGTGTTTGTTAATTAGCATTTATTAGAAATCAAGAATTTCCAACACAGTGCTAATATGCTACTAAGTAATTTGTATCTAAAGTAAAAATAAATATTTTGTAAACACTATTAAATGGTTTCTTATCGACAGAGATATAAAAAAAGTTATTTCTAGCAGAAATATTATTGAGTCATTAAATTTCGATATAAATTATTATCAATGTAAACATTTTGATACATCGTTTAGTCTGGAATGGTTATAGTATAAAAGCATATCCATTAACTTTTTCACAACGTATAATAAACGTCTGGAACAACCCAGTAATTTTATCTCTGATGCGTAAACTTTAAAATCATTGGCGTCGAAGACAAAGTAAATCACTCGCTTATATTTTTGTGAAACACTTCAAACTCCATTTATCCAAAGAATAATTGAGTAATTGTTATAGTCGAAATCGAATACATTAGCAAAACGTGAATAATTTTGTATGTGAAAATTCAAAAATCTCTCGATTATGGAAAATTACTTGACCAAAAACATGGTCAAAGTAATACCATAAAACTTGAAATTTTTATATGTGAAAAGTCATTATATTATTCACACCGTTGTAATTAAGTATTGATGCACAACTTCAAACCAATTTTACTCTAAAAATATTTAATGTTTTATAACAAATATCAAACAAAAATATTTATTTCAATAAATTATTGCTATATTCGTTGAAGTTTGAAATTTAAGAAACGTACGTTTCGTTTGAAGTATAAAAAGAGATTAACTCAACATCCTAAGAGACTAGCAAAGAAGTTGTTAGATTCAATTCAAAAATTAAAAAAAAAAATCCTAATGACATATTTCAAAAATACCGATAAATGAAAATCGACTCTATTATTTTATGTACTACCAACACATTAAAAATTGCCTCATTGGCGGCAATTTTTAAATTTATACTTTCTTCAATCTATTGGACACTTGATTAAGTATCTAGATAGATGATCATGCAAAAAAGGAAAGAAAGGAAAAGTAGCATATGCTACGACTATGCTCTAAAGGAAGAATAAGAAATCCATTCTCTAATCGGAAGAATAAGAAATCCATTGTATACTGTTATTTTACAAAAAGCAGAACGTTTAGATCTGCAACTGGCCAATATTATTATAATTGAAAAAAAAAATATTACCAGACTTCATACCCAAAAAAGTTAACAAAAACTGACTATGTCATTCGTTAACTGAATATGCAAAACTTATCTATTAGTTTTCATGTGAACTAATGAGTAATTACATATGTCATATCAAACAATATACCGACCACATCTAAATGAAATAATAACCGTTCACATTATCAATTTAAAACCGTTACTTAATAGTTTAAAGTATAGAAGAATTATTTTCCTATGATTAACTGCATCTGCCAATGATCCCACAGAATATATCACGACCTTGGATTAAGCGGCAAAGTCTAGGTTGCCGGTCATCAAGTATTTATCACCTAATGCAAGAGCCTATGGAGTAGACATGTAGAGCTGGAAAACTACAAATTGCAGTCCATTTTCGAACATGAAGCTATTAATATAATCGATATATCTTTTATTTTCGAAAATTGAAATTTTCGAATGACGGGGGTGTTAACAAAAGATTCAAAATGGTTCTACGATGGCATTACATGAAAATTGCAAAGGCAATGCCAGATCACTTATAGTACGTTTGAAAGCTTTTAGTTTTAGTAGAGTACAAACAGTACAAAACTTAAGTATATATTTCCCATGACAATAAACAATTCAGTCAACCTTGGGTCCTAACTTAACCCCCAATCTGGTATATTCTATGAAAAGCCAACCCTTTGCATAGATGAACTACCCAACTAAATTATTTTACATGAAAATACTATAATATGGTATGATAAAAATCGATGAAAAATGTATTTACTTAATCCATATATTAAGCAATATATCAAAATATTCAACTTAAGTAAAACAGTAATAAAACAGTAAACATTTTTCAAAATAAAATCAATGTATTTTCCGCTTGTCAACAAGAATGCAATCACATACCAGCAAAGCATGAACTATTTTCGTTGATATAGCTCCCATCAGGAGCTATAAGTTTCACTTGATAAGCAAGAAAGACTTCAGTTTCGATACAATTTCGAGCTTAGATGGTAGTTCCACACATCATAGCACGTCAAGTCAGTGAGTGAGGTGAATAATCAATAAAAGAAATATAAAATGTGAACGGAAAATGACCTAGAAATATATATTCCCGCCCTCACAATTGCGGCGATATTTTCACTCCATGCGGGTTTATAGTTCATATAAAAAGCGCAAAAATATGAATAGACGTAAAAAGCAACGTACGCTATAAATATAGTTATATAATAGCTAATATCGTATATAGTAATGGAGTTAACCTTTTAGAAGTAAATGATTTCATATTATCGAGAGATGAATATTTTGTTCTTTGTATTTACGATTTCGATAAATCATGAGCACGCGATGGAAATTTTGCAATATGTGACGTATATGTACTATGCGTCACATCTGGCGAAAGCATATCAAGTACACCTGCACGAAAAGGATATACAGACTGAAACCACACATTAGAGATACATTTGTTATATATTTCAAGAATTTTATATTATTTTTGTTTAAACAGATGATATTCTACTGATGTCTAGACGTACGGACGAACACAGTCAAAACCTACAAACGGTTTTCTTCAAAAACGCTTACTTCACAATCAATGTTGTAGAATTAAGTTCTGAGCAAACTAGAGGCAAACTTTCTTGTTCATACATAGAATCCAATAAAATATTCGATACTTTCGTGCAATTGGTGCAAAAATCAAAATAGACACTGATAATCAAATGGCCTTATAGGACATTGGCACTTGCTCCAAACAAAACCTGCTGAAATGTGTACTTTTTCGGAGCAGAGTGTTACCTTTTGCTCTACTAGGTTTATAGTTATAGACGTCATATAAATAAAGCATAAATGCAAAAATGCCTAATACTAATTTTATAATGTTGGATGATTTCTTCACTTTTGACAACCTCTGAACCATACATGTGTTCATTGCAGCCAATACGCGGAATTATCAGATCAGATCATATTTAAGAACCTCTTGGTTCCCATATAGAGCCTCAAGACTACATATTGGAAATCACAACGGAATGCTCGAAGATGACGCAAAAACTCGCCATTTGGAATCGGAAATAGACTTCAAGAAAAACAATTCCAAAGAACCTTAATTATCGCTTCAGATACGCCATTTATTATTTAGATGAAGGAGAACCTGTAGCGGACCGCTTCAGCATCAACTCTAACTCAACGCTGTATCGGACTTTTCAAACTAATGTGGGCAGAATATGCCATTATAGATAACTTTTAACAAAAAAAAAAACTAAACTAGCTGTAAGTGGAATTCTGTCTTAAGGCAATTAGGGCATCGTGCCTTGAGGCAAATTGCTGGAACTTCCCGTACCAAAAATTATTATTTTTTTAAAAACGATTAACGATTTTGAAAAAAATTTACTTCGGAAAAATAAGATTTTTGACAAACAATTAGACAAAAAATTACTTTTTTCGGAAAAAAAATTTTTAATTTTTTTTTTTTTAATTTTTTTTTTTGAAAAAAAAATGTTTTCTCTATTTTGACATATTTTGAAAGATATAAACTTTTTTTCAAAGCAATCGTACTGCTTTAACTGCATAAAGACGAAATATCAAACAGCGTAAGCGCCCCGTCGACGTCTAACGCGTAAATATTGGTACGGAACCCATAGGAATGTAAACCAAAATTATACTTATTGTTAAAATCTCTATAAAATATCTGATAATTTGATGTGCATATGTCTAATGATCATTTTTGACCGCCAAATGGCATTTTTTTTTTACTTTTTTCATTAGATCTCCGAAACCGCTAGACCTGCCTTTATGAAAATTTGATCGGTTCTTCAC